GATTCAATTACCTCCTACTGGGTCCCTGCCATGACCCACAGGGATTAAAGGGAGCTACAATTCAAGATGCCATCTGAGTGAGGACACAGCCAAATGGTATCAGTGGGCTTTACACAGTTACTGTAGCAGGAACATTAGCCCAACACAAAACCCAGATCGACGTGGTTAGCAAAGAGCAGACTTAAATAACTCAGCTTTGTTTTAGAATGCTTTTCCCCTAGGAGCAGCTTTAGCCAGTTTGACAGAAGCATTTTAAAATTATACTATGGGTAATACAAGCAAGTTTTGTATAGACGTAATCTGTTAGGGAAGGGTTTTGCCAATTTTGTTGTACATCTTTACGTGCATGAGGAAATGGAGGCAGGCTTGGGGAGACTTAGGAATTGGCCTAGACTCACAAAGTTATTTAGCTGTACAGTTAGAATCTTGTAAAGTCATTCCCAAAATTTCTGGAGAAAGCTTTCTTCATAGCCTCAGTTCAGGCCGAAATAACGCAAGCTTTTGAGTTACCGGATTGCCAGTACATTTGGGCCTGAAAAGGTGGGAAAAAGGATGGTTCACAAAGCTTTTCTCCCAATAGGTAGAAAGTACGTTTGTTTTATGTTTTACATTTAATTTTTTCAAAAATTGCACAAGTAACCTCACCTGAAACTTTGAAAAGGGATATAAGAATGGATAGCCCCCCCACCCCAAGTATCCTTCCACACTGTTTATATATATACATGTGGAGATTGTTTAAAAATTGAATGATTATCCCTATTTCTCAGCACCTCACTTTTATCTCATCCTGTGCTTTAAGTAGATATAATTGATTCGTTTTAACAGCTACATCATATTACATTGTGTTACTATAGTACATTGTCAGTAATTTGAATAATCTAGTGATTTTGTATGAATACTTACGTACTCACAGTACAGAGCTTTAGATCTAACAGCATCTATGTGTGTATATATGTTTATATATACACACACTATATCCTTGGTATTAATTTTTCTGCGTAGACCTGTATTTCAAAACTGGTTTTAAGAAGATGAGTATTCATTTTGAAAGGTTTGTAGCAGCTTTCTACCATATTCTCACCAGCACTGGATGTCGTCACTCTAAAATTTGTTTCTGGTATCATTGGGGAACACGGTTAATACATGCATACTTCATTTTACGTGCTTAATATTTTCCAGATACTGTGTTTTGGGGGTTCTTACAAATTCAGAGCTTATGGTAATCCTTCCTGGAGCAAGCCTATCAGTGCCACTTTCCCAACAGCATGTGCTCACTTCATGTCTGTCACATTTTGGTAATTCTAATAAAAATGAGTCAGCAGTTCTTTGATATTACCATTGTAATTGTTCTGGGGCTCAAAATGCGCCCACACAAGCTGGCAAACTTAAATGTGTGTTCTTACTGCTGTCCAACTGGCCGTTCCCTCCATCTCTTCAGGCTTTTCAGTTTTCAGAGACACCATAACATCAAAATTATCCCAATGAATAACTCTACAATGGCCTCTAAGTGTTCAAATGAAAGGAAGAGTCATGTCTGTCGCTTCAAATAAACTAGAAATGGTTAAGCTCAGTGAGGATGGCATGCCAAAAACCAAGATAAAGTTAGGCTACTTGTGCCAAACAGCCAAATTATAAATGCAAAGGAAAAGTTCTCGAAGGAAATTAGAGGTTCTACTTCAGTGAACACATGAAGAAAGCCAACCAACCTTATTGCTGACATGAAGGTTTTAGAGTTCTGGTTAGAAGATCCAACTAGCCATGACATTGCCTTAAGCCAAAGCCTAATCTAGAGCAAGGCCCTAACTCTCTCCAATTCTACGAAGGCTGAGAGGCGAGGAAGATGCATAAAGTTGGAAGCTAGCAGAGGTTGGTTCATGAGATTTGAGAAGTTGTCTCCATAACATGAAAGTACAAGGTGACCCAGCAAATGCTGGAGAAACTGCAGCAAATTATCCAAAAGATCTAAGATCATTGAAGAATGGGTACATCCAACGGGTTTTTAATATTGGCAAATCAGCCATATTGGAAGAACATGCCATCTAGGAGTTTTTCAATGGCCAGAGGGAAGTCAATGCCTGTCTTCAAAGCTTCAAAGACAGGCTGAATCTGTTGTTAGCAACTAGTGCTTCTGGTGCTTTAGGTGGAAGTCAATTCTTACCTACCATTCTGAAAATTCTAAGACGCTTCAGATTTATGCTAAACTTACTCTGCCTTTGCTCTAAGTGGAAGCACAAAGCCTGTGACGGCACATCTCTTTACAGCATGGTTCACTGAATATTTGAAGCCCACTGTTGAGACTTAAGAGTGCTCAGAAAAAGTTTCTTTTCAAAATATTACTGCTCATTGACAATGCAGATAGTCACCCAAGAGCTCTGATGGAGATGCACAAGGAGATTAATGTTTCCATGCTTGCTAACACAGCGTTTTACAGCCCATGGATCAAGGAGTCATTTTGACTTTCAGATCTTAAATACATTCTGTAAGGCTACAGCTGTGTCAAGTGATTCCTGTGATGGATCTGAGAAAAGTAAATGGAAAACTTTCTGGAAAGGGTTTACCCTTTAAGACACCTTTGAAAAACTGATGATTTGCAGGTGGTCACAATACCAACATTAATGGAATATGGAAGAGGTTAATTCCAACTCATGGTTGACTTGGAGGGGTACAAGACTTCAGGGAAGGATGTCACTGAAGATGGTGAAAACAGCAAGAGAACTAGAATTAGAAGTGAAGCTTCAAGATGTGAGTGAATTGCTGCAGTCTCACGATCAAATGAATGGATGAGGAGCTGCTTCCTATGGGTGAGCAAAGTGGTTTCGCAAGAAATCTGAGGATATTGTGAATGTTGAAAAGAAACGATAGAGTATTACATAAACTTCATTGGCAAAGTAGCAGCAGGATTTGAAAGGATCGACTCCAATGTTGAAAGAAGTTCTGTTATGGGTAAAATGCTTTCACATAGCATTGCCTGCTACAGAGAAATCTTTTGTGAAAGAAAAGTCAAGCAGTGTGGCAAAGTTCACTGTTGTATTTTTCAACTGTCACAGCCACCTCAACCTTCAGCACTTTGATCAATCAGCAACCATCAACATCAAGTCAAGACCTTCCAGCAGCAAACACATTACAACTGACATCTCAGATAATCCTTAGCACTTTTTAAGCAATGAGTTTTAATCACAGCATGGGCATTGTGTTTTAGATATGCCATTGCCTACTCAATAGACTGCAGTATACTGTAAGTACAACCTTTATATACACTGAGGAAACCAAGTTGTGTGACTCCCTTTCCTGCAACATTCACTTTACTATGGTGTTCTGGAACTGAACCTAGAATACCCCCCAAGGCATGCCCGTATCGTTTTAATTTGCACTTCGATTGTCACCGATTTTGAACACCTTTTCTAGTGTGTATTGAGCAATGGAATGGTTTATGAAAACTAGGCAGTGTGATAAAAGGTTTAAGAATTGTATAGCTACATAACATCTTCTGAAAAGGTGTTCAGAGAATGGCGTATATAGAACATTCAATACTGTGAGCATGTGTGCCAGTGTATGCTCACATTGCTCAGAGATTCCCCTATTACTAGTTTATAATAAAATTGTCAATATTTCAAAGATAACTATATACAAATGTCAATACTTAACCTAAAAGCTATATTAAATGTGGAAAAAACATCTTACAAACTAGTGTATTCCATATTCACATTATAGAATGGCCATCCTAAAATGCTGTAATGAATTTAGTTTTTATAGTCGGTATTTTTTGTAAATTTTTACAAACACCATTTCAAATGGGAAAAGATTAGTTTTACAGGTAAGAGATTTGAGGTCCAAAAGAAACATGGTTTCATCTTTAAATATTTGTTGACTACGATTTAGTGACAATCATAATTCCACTACTATAGTTTTCAAAGGCAGTCCTTACATTCGGTGTGTTTTTGGTTTTTACGTTCAAGAATCACAATAAATGCTCTGACAAATACATTTCTGTCAGCGTCTCATTTCCTTAGATTCCTAGATTTGAAATACTGGGTAAACTTGTCAATAAAGACTTGTGAATCACTAGTTTAAGGCCAACCATTCAGACTTTCATACAGACAAAAGCCAAGCCTAGAAGAGACAATTCAGTGTTATCGTGTAGAACTCCATGTTCAATGTTATTTTAGTCTTTTGTCTCATATTCCATGTCTATATTCTTAGGTGTGAATTCTCCTTACCCCAACATTCACATTGACTTTATATTCTATCAATGGCTACAGCTCACTATTTTCCCCTTCATTCAAGCTATGTTTCATCGTATTTAAGTTTTGGGGTACATATGCAGGACGTGCAGTTTATATAGGTAAAGATGTGCCATGGTGGTTTGCTGAACCTCTCAACCCATCACCTAGGTAATTAAGCCCTGCATGCATTAGCTCTTTTCTCCAATGCTCTTCCCTCATCCTCCCGACAGGCTCAAGTACATGTCCACGTGTTGTCCTTGTTCAGCTTCCACTTTTAAGTGAGAACATGCAGCATTTGGTTTTCTGGTCCTGGGTTTGCTGAGGATCATCAGCCCACTTATATTTTTACCGTGGTACTCTATCAGCCCCCCTTTCCTCTATGCTGGCCTAAGATTACATTGATCTTCCTTGATCTTAATATACTTTCCTCTGAACCAGCTATTTGAAGTATCTATGTTAGATCCCCCATTTAGAAAATGAGTCTAAGACCTACATGTTCACAGATCTATCCAACCTGCTTTGTTTGGCTTTTCACATCGGGTTAAAGTCTGTCACATGCTAACATGTGACAGATCTCATCGAAAAGATGCATCTTTTTACTCGGGCCAAGGAAATTACATTAGGTTTGGAATATTTATCCATAGCTCTGCCTATACCTTGGACTATTACCTGTATCTTTCTTATATCCAAGCCCTGTCTCTGAATCAGTTTTGTCATACATCGTGTTCATGACGTTTTTACACTGTAGATTACAAATATTGTGACTTTTAATTTTAGGTACCTAGTAGATGAAATCAAGAAGAGAGAAGGATTCAAGTTACTGATGGAAGTAAGTGACTGCATAACTGCTTGTGATGTTGTCGGTTAATGGTGATGGTGTTAATTTATGTTTACAATACAAAAAAAACAATGAAATATAAGTCATTAGCTTAATTCATAGAGTCCATTATGTTACTCTATTGAGTACTTTTCCTTTGTTGGATTCAGAGAATATACTTGCCTTTAAGTATTGAAAATTAAAATGCTCAATAATTACCAAGGATAATATTGAATAAATTATAACCTCTATCTTGATATAAATTGCATAGTGATTGTAGAATTCATCTGTGATGTAGTGGCTGCCTGCATGTAAAAAAAAAAAAAAAATCAAGTGAATGTACAGTACTGCATATAGTTCTTTATAAAATGAGCATATTAGCTTTGTAGCAACAGGAAAATAAGTTTCATTGATGTTGGATTATGTGTAAGAAATGAGGTTGTCACGAAGATATTTTTTCTAAAATGTTTAGAATATAAAGATGTGCAATTCTGGTTTTTAAGAAATAAAATGCAAGGTTATCTTAGATTTTGCTATAGTTTATGTTAATTGCTATAATACATAAACGAGATTATATCTAGGAGCCTTTTACTATATGTAAGAAATCTAACCAGCCTGACCAACATGGTGAAACCCCCTCTCTACTAAAAATATAAACATTAGCTGGGTGTGGTGGCACATGCTTGTAATCCCAGCTACTCAGGAGGCGGGAGGCAGAGGTTACAGTGAGCCAAGAGCACATCATTGCACTCCAGCCTCAGAGACAGGGCGAGACTCCATTTACAAAAAGGGAAAGAAAAATCTAGCTGGCTGGGCACGGTGGTTCACGCCTAGCACTTAGGAATACCAAGGGCAATCATGAGGTCAAAAGTTCAAGACTAGCCTGACCAACATGGCGAAACCCTGTCTCTACTAAAAACACAAAAAGTAGCCAGGCATGGTGGCACATGCTTGCAATCCCAGATAGGAGGCCAAGGCGGGAGAATTGCTTGAAGCTGGGAGGCAGAGGTTGCAGTGAGCCAAGATCGTGCCATCACACTCCAGCCTGGGCAACAAGAGTGAAACACTGTCTCAGAGTAAAAAAAAAAATCTAATTTTTCCTATTTATTCAATAAGATGCATTAAACAGTTACTATGTGCCAGGCATGGTTCTAGGCACAGGAGATAGAAAACAGGAAAGGTCCCCGATTATTTCATGATGCTTACATTGGAGTGGAAAGTGAAAGGCACTAAATAAGCAAATTTTAAAAAATCTCAGGTCGTGAGAAGTCTTAAGAAAATAAGACATGTTCATGAGAGTCTAGTATACAAATAACTAGATAGGATTATAGACATGGCAAGTACTCTATTGGGGGGAAAAAGGTAAAATGCTGACATGGGGATGATTGCTTATTTGGTTTGGGTAATCTGGGTAGGGGATTTTAAGGTTATCTTTGAGCCAAGACCTGAATAAAGATAAACAGCAAGCCATGCAGATGTTTGAGAATTAGTCAACTGCAAGGCTTAAAGCTGAAAAGAGTTCTGTGTGTTTGAGTAGCCGAAAAATGTTGTATCAAAGGAGAATGTGCAGCAGTGGATGGGATTGGAGAGGTGGGCAGAGACCAGATCAGGTGGTGGCCAGGTAGGTCAAGGTAAGACCTTTAGCCTTTATTCCAAATGTTGTCAATGGAGGTGTTTTAAGACAGGGGTCTGACTTACATTTGAAAAGGCTATTCTTAGTGTCATAAGAGGAATGTGGCAAAAGTGGTAAAGATGAAAACAAGACTAACTGGGAAACATTTTAGTAGCCAAGGTGAAGTATGACAGTCCTTAGGGAAGACTGGGAAATACTTTCTAGAGGATCTAGACCATGGATCCCACTACTATCTACAAAGGAGGCATCAGATTAGAAAGTTCCAGAACGCTAAAGATACGGAAGATCTTGCATGCATACCAAGATAATTCATAAACAACTTTCTCATAGTACTAAAAAGGACAAATTTAGAGCTTGAGCAGTTCTACAGAACCACTTGGTTTCTTCCAGACTAGTGCCTGAATGAGAAAGAGGGAGAAGCGATCTCTTTAGGTTCAAAGAGACTGAAGAGTCGTGACCACCAAATAAAACATAGACCTTGTTGGCTTCTTCAAACTGGGATTCCAACTGTAAAAATTCTTGTAACAGTTGAATTTTATATATGAACTGGCTATTAGATGGTGTCAAGGAATTGTCATTTATGAGGCATAATGGCATTATAACTATGTAAGAAAATTTCTAAAGTTCTTAGAGGTGCATACCTAAGCATGTTATATATTTGACTTGAATCGAGTTTGATCATTTTCTTGGGTTTGAATTTCCTCTTCTCAAATTTGCGTTGTTTTCTCTCTGGTGATGGGAGCTATAGTGCTTATGAGAAGTCCTGTATGCCTTGGAAGTGCACTTTTTCTTTTGATAGAGCTGAGAAAGTGATAAGCCGATTTTTTTTTTTTTAAAAACAAAAAACTTAAAAAAAAACCCCACAAACCATTCTTCTTAAAGGCTTAGAAAAGAAACCACTTATCATTAGGAAATTACACTAACATCCTTGCAGTGAAAACTAGGTGGGATTTAATTATTAGTCAGCCTTCTGCCCCTGGATTCTTCCTGTAGGAGCCAGTTGACCCAAAAGCAGTGAAGGTGGCTTCCTAAATGGTCTTCCAGAATTCCTGCTATAAGGATTTTTGTATGATCTGCATTTGTCTCTTCATTATGCCAAAAAATAAAGCTGAATTAGACCTTGAATTTCACAAGTATTAAGTTGATAGTCTCTTTGCTAATATATACACATGCATGTCTATGTACGTACATGTGTATATTTGAGAGAGTATGTTGTGTCACTGTAACAGTAAGGAGAAAGAACACTGGAAATCATAAATGAACATAATACACAGTACTTGAACATTTTTCTTCAAGAGCAAAAATACATTTCTTGAAGATTGAAAGTTATTTCAAATGAATTCTGTATTATTCATAGGCCCCTGAAAAATCATCTTTGTGTTGAATCTAAATATTGTTTTTCTCCAAGAATGAATATACCTCTAGGAAAACACGTGAATGATAGGAGAGTCCTAATTTTTTTTCTCAAGGTCTACACTAGGAATATTTCATAAACCAAGTTATAGAAATCTTCAAGGACATAGGTTTCCTGCATTGGGCAGGAATTCATCTTAACAGGTGGTCAACCTCTGCTTGACTACTTCCTATTTGCAGAATTCACTAGTTCCTTTTCCAGATGGCTCCAATCTTGTTCTAATAGTGAAACTCATTAATATTAAGCACATTGTGATTTTTCTTACATTCTTGTTTTATTAGATCACAACTACCTCCTAATTGCTAAATCCAATGCACATTCATCTTCATCTTGCTGAATTTCTGTAGCACTGTATGTTATCCACACACTCCATCCCTCGACAGTCTGTCTTTGATTTCCTTTCCGGGTTTCTCCATGTGACTTGTTCTTTTCAGTTTCCACGTAAGGGTCTTTTCACCAGGGCACCCCTTTAACTATTGTATACTTTGTCTTTGACATTTTTTCCCACTTAGTCTCCCTGAAAAGTCTTCACATCATCCAGAGAGTTATCAATCGCCTCTATGTCTTCATCCTTGACTTAGCTCCTTATCTCTAGGCCTTTGTATATACATATATCCCAAGATTTTCAACCTGGACTCCAGACACCTCAAATTCAACATTTCTAAAACTGTAGTGTAGCTTTTCTTCTTACCAAATTTCTGCATTCTTCTTTTGGTAATTAGAGCTATGGTCCACCCAAGCAGATGTCTTGATGTTGTTTTACTATCTCTTCCTTTTCTCCCCCTTAATCTTGAATGCTTAGTCTTCTCTACTTCCTAATCCGCTACCTTAATTCAAGATCTCATCTTCAGGTTGGTACTGTATTGGTACAGTTTAACTTGTGTCACACTTCTAAGTCTGAGGTCCCTCCAGCCTATCCTCTGCAGTGCTACTAGAGTAGCTTTTTGAAAATGAAATCTAGAATGGTGAAACTCCAGTGACTCCATGTTCCTCTAGAATCAAGCCCACATTTCCAAGCCTGGCATGTGACAAGTTCATGAGATGACTCCCATCTTCATTGCTAGCTTTACCTCTTCAGTACACCCTGTCCTCTATTCGTTCCAAGTTCAGAAGTGTTAGTCATTTTCTTCTCCCAATACCTAGTCCAATATCTATAAACACAGAAAACTTTAAGCTGAACAGTTTGGTTGCCCACCCCCCACCCCTTGGACATTTCTTAATGTTTCCCTTCATATATAGTACCAAAAAATTAAGTGATATACCTCACTAGTATACATTTTAATGGGGCTACTCATCCACTTTAAAAGACATCTCTGGCTACCCATACAGCTCCAAATAGTCACTAACCCACTACAGTGCTTGCTGTGTGCTAAACACATTAAGTTTTGAAAATACATTTTATCTTTCATTGTCAGACCAACCCTGTGGGGCAATGTCTTCTACATCTTAGCGTTTAGGAAGAAACAGTTTGATACTCGTCCCAAAGATCTGATGAAGTTGAAATTCAAAGCCACATCCTTGTGACTCCCAAACTTGGGCTTTTTCTGCTACCCAGTGTTGCCTTTGAAATTTTTCAATAATCTAATGTTTAACACCTATAAGCTTGAAGTCAATTAAAATTCACCATGCCAGCTTTTCCTTCAGTCTATATTTGCATGATTAACTGTGTTGGACTCTATTAAAATGCATAGCGCTAGCTTAGTTTTGTTACTATTACTCTGATCTAATGACATAAGCAAAAGAAATTTTTGATGTAACTCAGGTTTTAGACAGTGTGAGCTGCTACCTCTTAGACTATTTGGGAAAGAAATTAGTGGTCCCTAAGAATTTGCTAATTCTTCCTGAAATAGAGCTTTAGAATTTTATCTGTTTGAAAACCAGTATAGAATCTATTCAACTCTTTAATGGCACGTTACTCCTTTGTCATGAATTTTTAAAGATTATGACAATGCACTTGCTGCTACAGGGTTTTTCTACCCTTCACTAGACACTTGGACTCCTGTAATGCCTTCCTTGTTTTGTGGACTTTAGACAACAGACTATGTTCTCAGGATATCCAAGTCAGACTTTCATATATGTAGGCAATTAAAATTAATGTATAAACAGTTTCCTCTGAAAATACTCATTAGTACTTTGAATTCTCTTGATATGTAAAATTGGAGCTATAGAGGCAAAGAGACAGGAAACGTGTGTGAAAATTCGAAAACATGCTTTTTTCAACTCTTAATTTTGGCAGTGACCAAAGTGAAGATATTCTAAATGAAGCATCAAATTTCTTCCAATGAAACGAAGTGTCAGAAGGGCTGCGTAAGCTTTCAAATGTTGTAGCACTGAAGCCATTCCTTTCTGAAGTGTTTGGGCAAAAGTAGATCTAAGTCCTAACTTGTAAAATAGAGCCTAAAACAGCAGATAAAACAGCATCTACTCTTATAATGTTCCTATGCAAATGAAAGGGAATAACAAACTTGATGTTAGGAGTCCATTCAGAAGACAAGGACTGCATGGTAATTTGAAGTGGGGAAGTGTAATATCAAGTATTATTAACAAGGGATTGAAATAATGCAGGATTGCCTCAGAATGAAAACCCTAATACACAGCAGCAGCAGATAGAGCAGCCATCACTCCTGGAACTGAAATAGAACGCCCAAGCAGCCATGCCTTCCCAGGGCTGAGGTCTAGACCGCTTCAGGGTATAACCCTTGGCTCAAAGAATAGCAGAAAAGTATAGTGAGGTGTTGCATTGGCGATACTCACTAGAAATCTAGTCTGGAGTGCTGAGCTGAGGGAAGCCAACCCGCAGGGTCATACAACTTGGAAATCGCTGCAAGCTAGCCAGGAGTGCCAGAAGTCATCCAGTGCAAGGTGTCTAACATTTCTATGAAACTATCGGAGGGGAATATGCCAGGAAAAGCCATTTATGGGACCTCCACTTGCTGCCCAACTGTGATGTCACCTGAAAGGGGTGTGCTGGGGGAAGCTGCTGGGGTTGGCAGCTGGGGGGTCTGCTTATGCTTCACCAGTGCTCAAGATAGTAGGAAACCCATGAGGTAGGCATACCACACCAGAAAGACATTCCCTCCTTCACTATCCCTCCCACACCCTCTGCTGACCAAGTCTAAGACCGCACTAGATGTCAAAAGAACGATTGGCAGAGTCCACCTACATTATTTTAGGACACCCAAGAAGGGTAGATTGTAGCTGAGAGGCAATAAATTGATAACCGACATACCACAATCTAGTGACAGATAATTACTGTATTTTTCTTCTATTTTGTCAGGTATAGTTACTTCATTTGAAAAAAGTGTTCACATTAAGTGGCTGAAGAATTTGCAAGTTCAGTACAGTCTATCCTAGAGAATCAATTAGGTTGGTGCAAAAGTAATTGCATTTTTGCCATTACTTTCAATAAATCAAACCCAAGTATAAATTGTGCAGATTTGTAAGAAGGATCGTCATCTTATGTTTGCAAAAATTGAGTTGATTACAGTATTTTTAACTACTTGAAGATTGGTAGCTCTTTTCTTGTCAATTCCGATAAGAATGTTAATTTCAGAGATGAAAGGATAAGATCAAGAACTTACCTCATTGAACTGGAAATGTTTCTGGGCATTCGCTTATGATTTAAAAAGCACTAAAATCACAACTATCACCAGTTTTGATTTTAAGAGAAGAAAGTTCTTTCCTCTATGAAATACTTGGAAGCTATATACTGGAGCCTAATTCCGACAGTTGAGAACTGTTATAACATCGGGTTATTACAAACTGTTTACAGCAGAAAATGAGTATCAGTTCAAATACCGTCAGTGTGAGGTGTCAAATAGAGGAAGGTGGGTATGACTCAGTTTATCCTGAATACAATTCTATGTCTAATTTGTGAACTTCCAACATAATGTCTCAAATCTAGTCACTGAGTACAAGCCTTTTGGTCATAGCACTGTTTTTGTCGAGTGAGGGCAAAGACTTGTCTGTGTGACAAAGGCTGGGCTAAAGCCTGTTAGAATGCGATCCCATGTTTAAGCAAATCATGTCCGATAGAAAAACAGATTGGCAGGCAAGATGACTGGGTTATGGTCTCAGTGTAGATGAGTCTCTCATACAACACTTCCCACTTCAGAATCACTTGACATACTTCATAAAATGCCAATTCTTTAACTTTCTCTAGGATGGACTTAGACACGGGATGTTCTGAACACAAACTCAGAATCTACATTTTGAATAGGTCTCCTAGCTAATTTACTGAAATTTGAGAGCCAAGAGTCAAGATGATGTTCTTCCAGAAGCAGTGTTGGCTAGGGTCGTAGTGCTGGGTAGTGAAACCCAGCATGTCACCCTACTATCAAGTCACAGGTAATCAGGGCTTTTCCAATCATCAGGTATAGGGACCAATTTTGGCTGCCTCAAGTTATTGGAAGCCTGTATTGCCATAGCAAATAACTTAAGGATCAGTGCTGGACAGAGGATCCGGGCCTCTGAGCATATGTATAAGCAGGCACTCACTGATGATCAGAGCTGGGTTGAGTCTGCTTCAGACTTTACCATTTTCCTGATCTTTGCACTTTGTCAAGATGCAAGTGCACACTATGGAGAGAAGTTTAATAGGATGTTATCAGAAGTAAGGCAGAAGGGATTGTTACTCCCAGATTCTGGTTTGTCAGTTTTACACACATGGTAACTCAAAGAAACAAGCTAAGGGTTTTAGAAGTATTTAATTGCATTCCAAGATAAATCGTAGGATAACAAGTATTAAAATTTGTCTAATTCTAGCCTGAATATGCCAACATTTGCTTTTGGTACATTCCACCGAGCCTCAGAGAGATGAAAGAAGGACCCGAGTTCTGGGCAAAACTTAATTTGGTAAGTAAATGCAGTTTTCTTTTTGATGCATTTGATTCCGTGCACATCAGCTATTGATCCTGTAAATAACTCTGGGCTTGCTAGGCCTTATCTGGAGAAGTATCTTCTATAGTTCTTTAAAAATGACAGGCCAAACAGTTGTAGACATTGATTCATTAAACGTAAACATGGTTGACACATACACTCAGAACAATTGTAAGATTATGTAATTTGTTACAAATTCTGGCTCACAGTGCACTTCAGGAATTGCCATCTGATCAAAGTTAAAGTTGTGTAACGACTACTTATTTCAACTCTGCTACTGGATCTGTGACCGTTATTATCACTTTACTTGAAAATGTTAGAAGTCTAGATCTGATACCATTTGTGAGCATGAGACCTTCTGTCTTCACTACAAAAGGGCTATTGTCTTACACCCAGGGAGATTACAAGAAAAATACTAGCAATGGGTTTTGCAGCTGATCAACAAGATGTGCTTGAAAGTGTCTTCACACACAGCTATTGGGACTGATACAGGGTGAGGAGAGTCCCCAGGCTCCAGGGACTGCTTGTGTCTCATCTACACCTCACCTAGCATGGCCCTGCCAGTTATAATCTTGCCTCTAACCCAGATATCCAAGAACTATGGAGTCTCATGAGTAACAGTACTTGATCCCACTTTCCGGCTGTACGAACCTAATGCATATCGACAATGAATCCATAGGAGTTCTGCTGGGGATTGTGGCCGTGCCATGTGGAGTGCAAGTTCTCATGGGTTGGCACCATCAAAGTCAGCTAATTCCCTACACCTTGAGTGGTTATGACTGGTTAGTAAAAGCTCTGACTTGCAAACCCCTCCCCTCAGGGGGAAAACTAAGCAATTTGTGTTCCATAGCCTTTCTACTTGCAGTTTAAAAGAAAAACACTTCCCTATTCAGGGCAAGCCACAAACATTTGCTGACGGTCTACTGTACTATGTTGCCCTAGAAAAACAAACATCAAGGACATATCTTTGCCCTTGAGAAGGCTCAGTGTTCCCAGAAACAATGAGTAAAGAGACAATCACAAGGTAACCAGTAAGTGCCTGAAAGATTAACTGGTGAAAACAAAGGGTTATCCACCCCAAATGTGTGATACTAGAGCTGAGTTTTGAGCAAGTAGATGTCAGGGACAATTGTAAAGAAGTGGATTCCAGGAACGATCACAGCATAGACACTCAGAGGCTCAAGAGTTAAGTGATATAAAGACCAGAGGGGTGCAAAGAAGCAGTGATGGGAGGCAAGATAAGAGCATAGGCAGAGGGAGACCAGGGATCCTTGTCTTCCATAGCAAAGAGCTCAGGATTTTTGCCCGAGCCTCATTAGAAGAGGACACAGCATAGCCTTTAAGTCATGGTCACCGATTGCCTCACTTGGCAGCATGTCCTTTTAGCTTCAGGCTATTTTGTTTATTCATGGCTCAAACCTCCTAACCTGTAACAGAATACTTCTATGTAGGTCATCTACTACCTCTTATCAAACCTTATCAGGTAGCAAAGATGGGGGAGAGAGGGACGGTGTTATCTGTACCCTTATCCATTTCGGGCAGTTAGCATAGACCTTGGGATTCGTCTACTATATTGCATGTGACCAAAATAGAAAAGTGCTTAAAGCATTTCAGACGTTAAAGTAACCCATAAAAAGAAACGAACTGGACAATGAGAAGTTAGTGGTGAGGTTTAGAGGAACATTTTTCAATTTGATGGAATGTGGCTCACTTTGATGGGGTAGAGAGAAATCACAAGATATGGTCACCATTTTTCCTAAGCTAGAAATTGGTTAAGAAAAAATGTGATATTTGTGTTTTACTCAGTACTGCTGCATTGACAGGGATTAGAAAGACTGTTTGGGGACTTTTTACTCTCGTTTACTTTCTATCTTTAGAAAATGGATGTATAAGCTAGTCTCAGATAACGCAGAATACTGTTTTGCTCCGTCATCCAGGCTGGAGCGCAATGGCAAGATCTCAGCTCACTGCAACCCCCGCCTCCCGGGTTCAAGCCATTCTCCCACCTCAGCCTCCCGAGTAGCTAGATTACAGGCACCCACCATCATGCCTGGCTAATTTCTTGTATTTTTGTAGAGACAGGGTTTTTGGGTTTTACCATGTTGGCCAGGCTGGTCTTGAACTCCTGACCTCAGGTATCAGCCCACCTCGGCCTCCCAAAGTGCTGGGATTTTAGGTGTGAGCCACCATGCCTGTCCATAATGCACTTAATTGGGAATTAAACATGAGTTGGGACATTCTCTTATTCGCAATATTTGCCAACATGGATTATCTTACAGCAAATATCCATGACTCTCCATCCCTTAGTTTTGGAAGTGCTTTTTTCCCCATTTACCACCATGGTTTCTCCTTGCCTAATCTAACACACAACTTGTTATAGTTGCTACTGAATAGAAAAAATGTTGCAGACAAATCATTGATCCCGAGTTTAATTTTCTTTGCTTCTCTTTGTGCAAGTTGGGGTGTGTGCATGAATTTGGCAAGGGGGGAGGGAAACGTCCATTATGTGGTTTTGCTTTACCGAAGAATGAAAATGCAAGTATATGATTTATAACCTGTAGCATACTTAAAGCACACTTGAAATTTCAGGCTTTATCTTGGATCGAGAATCACAAATAAGGCTTTGCCCCTCTGATTCAGACTGTCAGGTTGAGCTGTCAAATTTCAGAATCGTTAGTGTGATAAATCTTCCCTTTGGCAGAAGGGGAGAGGGATTATTTGGTAATGAAACTGGAGAGTTGGAGGGTGTAAGTGTATTGTGTGCTTATAAGTATGTGCACATATGAGGGACTATTTGAGAACACAATCACTATGGCCCAACAATACAATCACAACTCTGATACTGTATCCTAGTTCTAATGACTTAAGATGCCCTCCATAACATGCTTGCTTCTATTATATCAGGCTCAGGTCTTCGTTACTTCCCTACCTATATTGTATTTCTCTTTCCCTCCTGCCATCTCCTTTTCCAGTTTTTTACTGTCAGCCCTTCTTTACCTCCGTCTCTGCTTCATCATGTCACTCTTCTGAAGTCTGACTTGCTTCCTGTCCCCTGGTCCCATATAGTAGCAGTACTCAACCCTGTCAGTCAATGACCACTATTTACAGCAGATTTAAGAGAATATACTCTTTAAAATGAAACCAATGGAACAAATGACCTCCCTACAGTTTAACAGGCAACGTAAGACCTATACAAAGAAATTAGTTTAAAATTTCATTATATAAATGCCTGAGCATGACAGTATTGGAAGACATGAGGAAGTGAGACTCTTGCATATACTCTTGGAAACAGTGAATGTAAGCCATTTCCGAACGCAGACTATTTTAAGTGATGATGAAAATAATGGCAAGTGTGGTATTGATACATTCATCAAATGAACTTCATAAACTGAGGAAGTCATTTTTCCCTTGCTTTACATAGAAAACTATCAAGAATGGTCACAGTATTTGGCACTGGTATGTAAGAGATTCTGGGCTTGAATAATTATAATCAGGCTTTTTACTTCATGCATTTCCGCTAGGACATTGAGTTGCGTAAAACATGGGTCGGTTCAATGTCAGATTGCTCTTCACAGTGCAGGACAGCTGACACCTCTGGTCTCCATCTGCTACTAAACACCAGTAGCAACCTCCTCAAACTCATGAAAATCAGAAGCATTTGCCCACATTTCCAGGATATTCTCCAGGAACGTAGTACCATTTCCTTAAGAACCACTGTCCCACAGCATAAAATCCAATCCTACCATATCTTACGAATCCAATCTTATCTCTTGGGCATCCAAAGCCCTTGTCCGATCCTGAGGCACTTTTCCAACTCAATCCATCGTGACTTTCTGTACTGAAACCCCTGGTACTGAGCAAGTTGGGCCTGAGTTAGGAAAAATTAGAAACCGGGTAAGGGATACCTTCCACTGATCAAATTGACAAATCACTGTAGTGTTTGACATTTATGCCCACTGGTGGCGAGTGTCAGAAGACTCCAATAAGCCACTCATGGGTACATAAGTTTTGTACCATTTTTCTGAAGACCAACTTTATTTTTTCAATTTTTCTAAAAGTTACAAAAATGAGGAAAAAGCTACCAAGACATTCATAGGCATTTTAAAATGGCAAATACTTTAGAAGTGTTCAACTAGAGAGAACCAGTTAAATTTTAGTGCATAACTTAACAAATTAGCGCACAAAATTGTGTTCCAAAGTAATTCATATTAAAAAGGGGTTTAACAGCCACTGTAGTATAATATTGAAATTTTGTGCTTATACACTTAAGTACATATTAAATACTGTGTGTGCTTAAAGGGTACATAAGAGGTGCCAATATTTCTAGAGATAAAGTTGTAGGTGATTCTTATATGTCTCTGCAATTTGAATATTTTCTATACTCAGTGTATTGCTTGTGAAAATAAAGTATTAAAATAAAATACCTTAGTGAAGAATTGATCTAATGAAGCTATAGGTTTTGAATGCTTTATCTAGACAAAATTGTCCAGGTTTCAACCATGTGTACCCAAGGGATTTAACCTGTGTTCTGAGACAAGCGTTCATCCCAATGTGGTATATTTTCACCATTTTAAAACTATCTACATGCATTACCTTAGAAATATGCCATGTACATTTAACACGAAGTTTCAGGATGAGTTTCCAATTTATTGTATTAATATTTTTCTTGTAGCATTTTAAGGATCATGATTACAGAATGTTCGATTAATTTGCGAACTATTTTCTCTCATGATGTGTTCCCAGGGACCGTGTCTAATGCCATCCCTTCCCATCTCTCCCGGCTTGCTGAAGTACTCACAGTATCTGCACTGATTAAGTTGAGAGGCATCACTAGTGGTGGTTCATAGTGGTCTTCAACGGGCTTCCTAGATTTCTCCAAAAGCTTCCGGCATTGTGGTAGAGTTGTACCTTGCTTTCTAAAGCAACTTCCTAAGTTTGTGTGTGTGTTCCTTGTGAAGCTACCTCAGTGACCAGAT